TTTCACAGTTTCCATGTTTTTCAAGGTTGATGCTCTGTGCATTATTGCATGATAATGCACAATATGCACAACGATGGATGAGTTGTAGTTAAATCTGTTATTTAAGTGAACATCTCTGTCTGATCCCTGTTATTTAAAGGCCCAGGTATACTATAAATACGCTCCTAAACAATAGGGATTATTTCTTTGCTTGTCATGCTGTAGTAAACAGCTCCAGCCAAGCTCTGGTAAAAATGCGTTTTCTCAAACTTACAGATCAATTATGTCGTGCCAAAGTGGATATGTGTGACTATGAGTACGCAAGTACGTGAATTGGGCCTTTAAACAATAATGAATGACAAGATACTGTGTGAGGTGAAGCTGAACAACCAGATTACTCAGCCAGAACATGGGCTTAATACCTTAGATTTGAACTTCAATTCAAAGCCCAGTGAGGCAGCCATTGTGCTAACGGTTAATCACATGTCATTCATGCATGTCATTCATTTAATCATGACATACCACTTTTTCAGAGTCTCATTAAAGCCTTTTGCTGTATTTAAATATGAAGGTGTGAGGCCAGACACAGCTCCACAAGGTAATATCTAATTTTGTATCTTTATTTTGAAACATGGTGGTTTTTCTTTTTTAAAAGTAAATTTGTTTATGTCAAATTGTCAAAGTATCCCTATATGTCCTGATTAACCTTTTGAACCTTAACCATTTTGTGCTTCTCTCGACAATTTCTTTGTTAATTTTAGTCAAATTGGACATAATTTTTCATAGACAACACAAATATGGAAACAAATTTATTTTGTGAAATGTGATGAAAGTTTACATTGGTGTTGAGAGGAAGAGAATGAACAAAAGTTGTGTGTTCCGCCGTTACCTTAGTAACTCGCACACTCTTGTGTAAAAACATTGTGTCTGCGTAGTTGAGTTGATTTCTCTGCGTAAATGCTTGATAGCTGATCAGAAGGCCAGGAACCAAAGAAACTACGAAATAAATTGTGTTGTGTGGCTAGAAATCACCCCCCCCTATTCTTGCACAGAAACCATTTACATGTACCAGTAACTATGCTATAACTCATTATTAATGTAATATTATCGTGTTACAGTACTATATATTGTCTTCTCCTCTTAGCCAAAAGACAAAAAAATACAAACAATGGTAAACAACTCTTCTGTATTGAGATGTCAGTCACATGTTGCAGTTTGATCGGCGTTGATAAAAGTGGATCACTCTGTCTAATTAAAATTGCGCCAACACTAGGACAGTCGGTGGATCAAGGTGAGATTTAGCAACGTATAACATTCTGTGATGTAGCTTCGCCTTCAAGAATATAATTTTTATCCATTACTATATAAGGAAATACAGGGGGAGCCCATTTATGTAAGCGAACATCTCTGTGTTTGTAGTTATGTTCACCAGAAAAGTGGGAAATAAATGCTCCCAGATATTTTTCTACAAAAAAATGACATGTCATGATGAGTTTTTTTTTTTTACTAAAACGATCTGTCCACAACCATTCACCAAAAATAGAAAATTTGCAGATGTTGTATCAGAATAATTAAATCTGGGAAAAGCTTTCTAAATCACATTACCTGGTAACTATGAAAGCAATCTGCATTCCAGTTTTGATGAAAGAAGGCAACAATATAAATATTGGC